TTTTTTCCCTTTTTTTTTTTTTTTTTTTTTTTTGGAAGAGGTTAAAGCTATACGGTGAAAAAAATAGATTTCTTTGTTGAATTACATAGAGCCACAGTTGTTTTTTCCAATATGATCCCCCTTCCCCCCACTTTCTGAGAGTTTGTAGAATAACAGTGATTTGAATTCACTGTGGAATGAAATTAAGTATATAAATTCTGAACCCAAGAGCAAATTAGTAGTAGCGGTAACAATGTTAAACAGTGTAATAGTCCCCTTTGTTTCAGGCACTACAGTGAAACCAATAACTGTGACTTGAGTTATATTCACTGTACTTGAAGTTTAGTGTTTTTATGAAAGGTTGTAGACTGCCAGCTCTGGAAACTCAAGTTCTCTCTCGGCAAATAAAAGCTACACATGCTGACCTGCCAGTGTGCCTCAACCCTCACCAGGATGGTCCACTTCATGTTGAGAAGATGGTTCTTTGCTCTTTTAGCTTTTTTCTTCTGTATTGCGACTGAAGTGTTAGTTTCCCCCCCGCCCTTTTCTTTACCAACTTGGATGGGACTCAATTCAATTACTTATAGGTAGAGATCCCTATATCTCAGTGCCAATGCAGTCCCTGTCTCCCTGCTCTCAACTGTCCTGCTGATGTGGTATGATTGAAAGGAGACCTGATTAATTGAACTTTTCTTAGAGGGAGTTCAGCTTTCAAAAGTTTGGGAAATGCTGTGTTATGCCAAATTCAGGATGACCTCTTCAATTTATGAACAGGACCCTACCAAATTCATTGCAATGAAAAACGCGTCGCAGACCATAAAATCTGGTCTCCCCTGTGGAATCTGGTCTTTTGTGTGCTTTTACCCAGCGCTACACAGATTTCATGGGGAAGCCCAGGGTTTCTCAAATTGGGAGTCCTGACCCAAAGGGAGTTGCAGGAGGGTCACAAGGTTATTTTAGGGGGGGTTGTGGTATTGCCACCCTTACTTCTATGCTGCCTTTAGAGATGGGTGGCTGGAGAGCAGCAGCTGTTGGCCAGGCACCCAGCTCTAAAGGCAGCGCCCCACCAGCAGCAGCACAGAAGTAAGGGTGGCAATACCATACCATATTGCCATTACTTCTACACTGCTGCCTTCAGAGCTGGGTGGCCGGAGAGTGGCGGTTGCTGACTCAGGGCCCAGCTCTGCAGGCAGCAGCACAGAAGAAAGGGTGGCAATACCATACCATGTCATCCTTTCTTCTGTGCTGCTGCTGGCGGTGGCTCTGCCTTCAGAGCTGTGCTCCCAGCCAGCAGCCGCCGCTCTCCAGCTGCCCAGCTCTGAAGGCAGCGCCACCACCAGCAGCGCAGAAGTAAGGGTAGCAGTACCACAACCCCTTCACAATAACCTTCAAACCCCCTCCCCCCCGCCACTCCTTTTGTGGGTCAGGACCCCTACAATTACAACACTGTGAAATTTCAGGTTTAAATAGCTGAAATAATGAAATTTACTACTTTTAAAATCCTATGACTGTGAAATTGACCAAAATGGATTGTGAATTTGGTAGGGCCCTATTTATGAATGAGCAGGACAAGAGGTAAATGCAGGGTGTGAATTCTTGTTCCTGAGCACAGGGTGCCTGTTTTTCCTTCTACTCCATTCTGTGTAGTCACACCTGTCTGGAGTGGGTTTAAATCTCTATCATAGCAGAATGGTTGCTTATTTTACACACACTTTGCGCAGATATAAATGACTACAAGGTGCAAGGCAGCAGAGAACCAGGCCATGGTCTACACTCCTCAGGGTTCTCCATGATTGTATCCTTGGACATTGACAATGCGGGGTTGCTCTTAGCCCTGTTTTTGCACCATTGCTTTTGCATTTTTAGGGAAATTGGTGCTGGACCTGAATTTGACCCAACATGTTTGGGAATCAGGCCTTTTAAAATATGATTTTATATATATATTCTACTGTGTATCTCAGTGATGAATGCTAGACTCTTAACATTTTCTTTCGCATGGAGAAAAATGACTGTTTTGATTTATTTTTTCAAGTAAAGAAATAAACACTGTTAAGTAGTAATGGCACAAAATGAGAATACTGCTAACACCAGCAGAAAAATATTATAATATTTTACACTTGTATAGTGTCTTCCACCCCAGGATCTTAAAGTGCCTTACAAACATTAATGAATTAAGCCTTGCAAGACCGCTTTGAGATAGGAAATTATTATTAAGCTCATTTGATATTCACCCTGCATCCTTCCAGACATTCACTGCTGAAGATTGTTTAAAAGTTTAAATAAGGGACTTACAAGCTGTGTTTAATTTTGCAGGCAGTCATCAGTATTAGTATATAACATTGCGAACTGTCTCTGCACAGAGGTACACCTTGGAAATCTTTTGATGAGGTCATCAGATTAATTGACAGCTGTGGCTGTATAGCAACATGAGTAATGCTACTTTGAGACGTTTGGATGGTTAGTATTGCATTGGTGCAGGAAGCCTTCCAAAGTGCAATGTAAGATTTCAATAACTGGCTTTTTAAAATATAACAGTGCAATTTGGAAGATTCGTGCCAGTATTGTAATGAACACCTGGCAGTGCTGCTGTCCTCATCCTGTAGCATTCTGGGCCCCTGATCCCAATTGGGGTCTTTGGATGCCGCTAGATAATACTCTACAACTGTTGCTCTCAGTTAATTAGATGACGTAAGCAGAAAGCAGGTTAGGGTTGCCAACTTTCTACTCACACAAAACTGAAAACCCTTGTCTTGCCTCCTGCCCCACCCCTCATCCAAAGCCCCGCCCCTGCCCTGCCCCGCCCCTTCTCCGAGGCCCCAGCCGTGCTCACTCCATCCCCTCTCCCTCTGGTGCTCGCTTTCCCCACCCTCACTTACTTGCTCATTTTCACCGGGCTGGGGCAGGGGGTTGGAGTGCGGAAGGGGGTGAGGGCTCTGGGGTGGGGCCAGGGATGAGGGGTTTGGGGTGCAGGAGGGTGATCTGGGCTGGGAGGTGGAGCCGAGGGGTTCGGAGTATGGTAGGGGGCTCCAGGCTGAGGCAGGGGGTTGCGGTGTGGGAAGGGGTATGGGCTCTGGGCTGGGGATGCGGGTTCTGGGGTGGGGCCAGAAATTAGGAGTTCAGGTTGTGGGAGGGGGCTCCAGGTTGGGGAAGGGGGTTGGGTACAGGAGAGGGTGAGGGTTCTGGCTGGGGGATGCAGGGGCCAGCGATGAGGGGCTTGGGGTATAGAAGGGTGCTCTGGGCTGGGACCGAGGGGTTCAGAGGGTGGGAGGGGGATTGGGGATTGGGGTGCTGGAGGGGGTCAGGGGTGCAGGCTCCGGGTGATGCTTACCTCAAGCAGCTCCCAGAAGCAGCAGCATGTGCCCCCTCTGGCTCCTATGCAGAGGCGTGGACAGGCGGCTCTACACGCTGCCCCATCACAGGCGTCACCCCCGCAGCTCTAATTGGCCATGGTTCCTGGCCAATGGGAGCGGTGGGGGCAGCGCCTGTGGATGGGACCGCACACAGAGACCCCTGGTTGCCCCTAGGTGTAGGAGCTGGAGCAGGGACATGCCACTGCTTCTGGGAGCCGCACGGAGCCACAACAGGCAGCCTTAGCCCCGCTGTGCCGTGGACCGGATTTTTAATGGCCCGGTGAGTGGTTCTGACTGGACCCACCAGGGTCCCTTTTCAACCAGGCGTTCCAATAAAAAACCGGACACCTGGCAACCCTAAAGAAGGGTCAGTGTTCTTCTGTGGAGCAGAACCTCTCAAAGTGGCCTTGTGACAGAGTTCTAGTAAACAGGGATGGCTGTAGATGTGTTAGAGGATGCCTGAGGCTCCTCATTGGCAGCTGGACTTAAAATGAATGTAACTTCCAGTGCTTTTGTGGGAAGAGTAAGGTCCTCCATTCTGATGTTCATAGGGTCACCTCTGACCTTGAACAGGGTCTGCCAATAAATTCCTTCAATCTAAAATTAAAATATACATTTGGAAATGTCTGTTTTGAGAAACCTAATGAATATGTGGAATGTAGTCCCTTGTCTCAGACATGTCATTTCCAGAATGTGTGCAGACTTGTAGAAAATATCCTGTGATTTCCTAATATCCATTACAGTAAGTAATTAACTGTTTTTGCTTTTTTTGTTGTTTTTTTCACCATTTTAGTGGGCTTCACTAAAACTAATATATGTTATGGATTTAGATGCATTGATATCCACGAATATATTGGAATAGAAACAAAAACCTAAAGCTATTAACAAAAAGAGGAATGTTAATTTCAGCTCTTTTAGAAATATAACAAGGTTTGCAAAATAGGAAAGGAAAAAAATCCTCTAGAGAGAGAAAATATTTCCTTGTTGATTTGGCACGTTTTATTAAGAAGCATGATTTTTACAGAAGAAGCAGGACTTCGCTATATTGCAATTGTATCAAAAGTCACTTATGTAAGATATAAAAATAAAATAGTTTGAAATACAGTGAAACCTTTTGAAGTCCAAGTGTCATTAAGTCTCTAGTTTGCAATCTGTCTTCTTGCCAACATAAAGGATAAGGACCCAGCAAGAAATAGGATAAAATAGCGTTCTACTCTCCAGGGGAGTGTCTAATTTTTGTTAATGAACTTGAAGTTCACAGAGTTCTTTAACCCAGTAAGGCATCCCTCAAAGCTCATACGCTCCAGGAAGTCAGCCCGCCGCTCTTAAAGGAGCTAAACCTGCTATTTCTCTCAAAAAAATGTAATTTTAAGTTTCTAAGAAGATGTTAGAAACAATGTAGAGTAAGAGAAAAACAATTAAAAATCATTGTAAAAGTGAAAACAGATGTAGCTTCATTTTTAAACCTGTGTTTATGGTTAAAGAATAAATTATATATTTCTACAATATATTTGAAAGGTTTAAGGTTTTGTTCATTTTCTCATCTTGAAGATTTTTAAAAATAAGCATTAAACAGAGTACACAATGCCAGTGCTGGTATTTCATAGACCTATAGGGATTGCACTTTAAATGTGCTTACTTAAATGCTGGCCTGTCAGCTCTGAGGGTTAGGAACCATAAATTGATTTCCAAATCCAAATTACCTTTTTAGTGCCTTCCCGACACACTATCAGATAGTATTTGGTTCTTGCAGAACAAGCCCTGTAAATAATGCAGTAGTCCCAAAAGACTTTGTAGATGAAAAAAACTTCCTTTTAAAGTAGAATACTGATGCAATAAATCCTGTAAATTAAATTATGAAATTAATCCACTTAATGCATTTCTACATAGTAGAAATACTAAAATAAGTGTTTCTTTTAATTTAACTTGTCTTTTACTTTGAAGAGCAACATAGTTGTTCTTTCTAAAAATTGGACCTGGTGTTGCTTGCAGATAAGCTGATTGAGGATACTATGCTATCTTCTATCACAATAACGAGAATTAAAAATTGGAGTCCGTATTCTTGTTGGAGAAGCATGGTAAATCATTGCTATAACACTGTTGTGCTTCCATAGTTACTGAATGATTGTCCTCCAAAGATAGAGAAAAGTTAAATTAATTCTGTTGACATACCTGAATATGATGATTTCTATTATGATTCTTTTATTTAAATCACTGCCATATTTGATCTGAACAGAAGAGAAATAAATGGAATAAATAAGCCTTTTCTTTTAGCTTTAGTTAGTGGAGAGTTCAGTAGATATTTCTCTATTTTAAAAATTATGCTCTAGTTTAAATCCACTTTTGTCTTTACAGAAATATCAAGAAATTGCAGAAAAAGCCAAGGAAAGATGTTCTGTCATTGAAAAAGGACGAGAGCAGTTGGTCCATGAAAATTCACAATTGAAAAGTATATTAATGCAGACACAAAAGGAACATACATCTCTGCTGGCTGCCTGTGCACTAATGGGTGGTGCCTTATATCCTCTATACAGCCGATTATGTGCCTTGTCTACACAAAGAGACTTTCTCCAGGATCAGGTCCATACCTATGAAGTACTCAAACAGGAAATTAGGACTCTGGTCTGTGCTTTGTCTGATGTAGAGGAAAAGAGGCAAGATGAAGTGAAGATAAAGAAAAAGCGTTTCAAAGGCATGATACATGTATTCCGGAAAGGTGTTATTGCAGTTCTGGCAGCACACAGACTTCAAATTTTGGGACAGTCAAGTAGCTCTCTTTTCTCCTGGGTAGATGGTTTCAAAGAAGGCATAGGAATCCTAGTTTGCATAGGAGAGGCCAAGGGGAAACACAATCTGTCAAGTAAGATAATTGATTTGTTCTTTTATAATGTTATATCAGATTGCACTGTTGGTGCTTAACTTATTATTTATTATTTGTTTATTTATTTAATAATAATGTGTAAAGACAAATATAGTGCTGACTTGACTTGAAAAAATATTTTTTTGCACATATTGAATGTGAGGCTCCCCCAAATACAAATATTTTCTGTTTATTGAATAGTGAAAAATAAGGTGGTGCTGTGTGTGTGTGTGTGTGTGTGTGTGTGTGTGTAATATCATCAGATATCTGTGATAGATTTATATTACCTTTCCAGAAAAAGAGGTTGCAAACATTTCAGTATTATGCTACCTGGTTCACTGCCCTGTGAAGTCTCCAAACAAATGGAGATCCAGAGAAAAGGTCCTGATTAAAAAGCCAAAGTGCTAATCCACATTATGTGTATTTCATACTAAAAATAAAATATTAGTATGGGATTATTAAATCTTCATTTGCAGAGTATAGTAACTGTAAAAACATTTGTAACATTTATAGTAACTGTAAAAACGTTGTACGTTTACTGTAGTATGAAGGTAAACAAAAACACATTTACTCATTTTATGGTTTCTCTGAGTAAGAGGAAGTGATAAACAAAAGAACAAATAATTATTTTCCCATTTAACAGCTGAAGGTGGCATAGTGCATGTGAACACCATCTAAAATGTCTTGAAAGAAAAGTAGAATCCTGGCATGAATTTTGTGTAAACTTTATTTTGATCCGTTTCTTAAACAACTGAAGATTATAGTGTACCTTATAGCTCATATAATGTTACTTTTTATTACATTTTGTTTCACAGAACACCAAAAGGAACAAATCCATTGTCTTCAAGCACTCAACTGGTTTACTAGTTCTGACCTTCTTGCTGCAATAATCAGTTCGGTGGCTGAATTACAGGAAGTTGTTAGCAAAACAGGTAATTGTTAAATATATTGTTATAGTATATAAAAAGTGGTATGAGAATATAAAAAGTGGTATGTTATGTGATTTCCTATTTGAGGATTTTATATCTTCAAATGTCTTCTCTCCTGGCTCAAATTTCTGGAGGTGGAAAGTTGTTTGGGGAGTCTAATTTTCTTCATCTTTATCGGTAGTTGTACTTGTGTTTTTCGTTTTGGATACTTTTGCATATACATATCCACACCACACACACATGCTCACATGTGGTAGGTAGTACGTAAATCGCTGCCCGACATACCTTTACCTGATTTCCAGCATGGGTTGCAAAATATATCCTTTTGTTCTTTCCCTCCATGTTCTTACAATTTTCCTACATCTCTCTCTATTTAGTGGTTTTCTTATTTAGTGATGTATAGATCATCATCTTTGTTGTTGTTTATTGTAACTCTCCTAAGGTCCCAATCAGGATTAGGGCCCTATTATGCTGTATAAACAGCATCTGTAACTACTAGCATGACAGATTGCATTGACTTCTAGAGAGTGGTAAACAAATATTTGATTCCCTAAAACCTGATACATCTGACCATAAAGGGAAATTAAAGCTTAGCCATTTTAATGAACCATATCTGGATAGTGATTGCCTCCGTCTTCCAATTCAAGATTCATAAAACTTTCGTTTAACTTCTCTGTAAATCTAGCCCAGCGCGGTCAGCCCTATTCAGATTAGGAATACCTAGTAGTTTTGAAATTCTTGCTGTAACATTAAAGAGAGAACCACTTTTTCTAATATTAGTGAGGTACCAGTGCATGAGACTCACAAGCAGCAGCTTGCTGCTTTGGGAGATGCTCTCAACTGCACTAAATATTTGTTAATTAAAAATGATTGTAAGACAACTCTTTAAATCTCTTTAATTGTAGAATGGTCAAAACCAGCCAACGTTTACTACTGGCCTATTCAGAGAAACTAATCTTGTGTATAGAAAGCCAGTAATTCCTGAGTTCAATCCCACCTCTTCTACTGACTCAGAGTGTGGCTTTGGGCAAGTTATTTCACCTTCCTACCTGTGCCTCATCTATCTGTGTACATGGGAATAATAACATTTCACAGCCTCATAAGAGGGTTCTGAAAATTAATTTGATTGTATGTAAACTACTTTTAAGAAGTTTTAGATCTAGCCTGATAGTCTGGGAGCAAATCTCACTACGTGGACAGCTAGCTATAAAAAGGTCATTTGAATTGTAAAAATCTACAGAATCATAATTTCAATGGTGTTCACCCTCTGTGGTGTGGCAAGAGGGGACTTTCTGCCTACCCAGCCCCAGGTCTTCTGGTTGGTGGACATTTTGATGATACATCATTGGAAATGAGTCAAGTTAGGTATTATCCAAAAGCCCCGTCTCCCATGACCAAAATGGTACCAAACATGACAAACTTGAAACAATTATGAAGAGAAATGAGAAAATGTTTAAAAATCAGGTTTTTTTTAAATTATACTTGAAAACAGAGATGCATTGCTTACATTAAAAAAAAGACATTGATCTTTGGTAATCCTAGGTAAGTTACCATTGACATATAGGACTGAAAACATTTATTCATCAAAGTCATCATAACTGTTGTCTCTATCTAGGGCACCAAACCACAGCTAGACATATTGTCACGCTGATCCTCATTGGCGCTCCAGGAGCACATCTTTGTACAAGGCAGGTTGCTGGCCAAATATTTTTAGGGTGATGAGCATCTGGTCTTTGCACAAAAACATTTGATTGGCTAAAGGATTGATTTGGGAGCTCATGGTATTTCACACAACTGGTGTGATTGGTCCATCCTCCCAGACCCATCCATGCTCAACAGGGGAAGGTAGGCTTGAATGTGCTCAATCATTCCTGAGCCATTCCATTGCTTGACAGTTTTCTCTCTTGATAGCAGGTATAAATGCCCCCCTTGTTGGTGGTAATTTTTTCTGTCTGCTTCTTGGAAAATATCCACCAGCATGCCTCTGCAAGTATCTTAATGTTGTCTTCTAATGATGAACTCTCCATATGAATGTCTCCAATGCATTTGTGACCTCATCAGTGACTATCTCAGCCATTCCAAGCACCTTCAGAGTGAGGAAATAGTCTTTAGAAGCTGAATCAAATGCCTTCCAGTAAGATAATTTGGCCTTTTCAGACAACATTCCAGCAGTGTCACATTCTGAACAGGGGTGCTGGAACAGTTTGTATAGTGGGAGTGCTGAGAGCCATTGAACCAAACTGTAAACCCTGTATATAATGGAAACCACTTCAAGCCAGGGGGTGCTCCCGCACCCCTAGCATCTCTAGTTCCAGCACCTATGATCCTGAAAGGGCATGGATTCCTAGTAGCTTTTAATGGTCCGAGTGATAGGAATACATCTCTGAAGGATATACAAGTCATTCTGGCAGCAGGCACAAAAACAGAATCTTGCAGGAGTCTTGGGTAGCATCACACAGAGAACACTAGAACCTCTGTGTTTTGTGCAAAAATCTGGAGTTTAATAGACCCTCTCTCTCTGTAGCATTGATGGCATGTAAAATAATTTTAGTGTCAGTCTCCTCTTGGAAACGACTAAAACTCCACTGAACAGTGTGAGGCAGCAGCTTTATTAAGCCATGTGACAATGAAATTCTTTAGAGTTGTTCATATGCTGGAGCATTTTTCCTGCAAGGTATATGGTTAACTCATCCTTCGTGTGAGTATGAGACATTGTGACATTGGAGATGTTTGTGATTTTGTATTGGACAGGTGCAATACCATGGAGTCTCTTCTTCTGGTAATATTTTAATTGATTTCTGTGCATACATGTCAAGGTGGACTTCATCATAGGTCCAGTATTTATTTTCTCTGTAGCCTCATAATGAAGCGTACAACCAAGTGATAGTTTTTGGTTTGTTGAGAGCTTGTACATCAGACATACAATCTGTGAATGCTATGTTGAAAGGCCTCTGCTGGTATAAGAACCAGTCACGTTGTCAGTCGGCGCTGGCTTAGAAGACCACGCAAGATGTGCATAAGTTAGCTTTTCGCCTGACACATAATTGTTCCGTTGCATTCAAACATCAGTCATAGTACTATGGAGAAGGTGTACTTATTCAAAGTCTCACTTAGATTAATATCACGCTGAGAGCTGGACACAACTAAGAGACAAGCAAACAATGACCTGTCTGTGCTTAGCTCTGTAATACACCCTGCCACCTTTGCTCTGACTTTTTTCTTTGCATTCAAGCATAGCTTTAGTCTGTTTTTCTTGATTGAAGCCCATAGATTGATGGACCCTTGGATAATTCTTTGGGTTCTGAAGGCTTCATACAAGTCATGACCCAAAGTATCCATTCGACTGACATCTTTAGCTATCTAATCACTGAAGACTGCTTTCATCATGATATTAATGAGCTCCAGTCTGTCTTGTGCACATTGGTTGCTAGTGCAAGTAAGCTTAACCTTCAGATGGGGCATGTTACTTCTTGGGAAATCATCCTAACACTGCTTATTGTTTTGTTTGAAATTCAGTGGAGTTCTGGGGTTGTCAGGAAAACAGAGAGAGCATTTGGATGCTGTGTTATGCCCACCAACCCCCCAGTGAATTTCATTGCTCTGTTTTTGTGTTCCAGGGGTTTGTCTGAACCAAGTGCACAGAATTTCCATTTCAAAATTCCTCCCATGTGTCAAAGTCAGGCACCTCCTTTTCTATACCTCCTATTCCAGCGAGGTACTAGGCAATCATTGCAGAATAGCTGGTTAAATCTAAAGCAAAAGTGCTACAAGGTGAAAATTCCAGTTAGCAGTCTATCCTGGCAGATTGAATAAAGTGCAGCAAAGACTTTTCCACGGAGCTGGCACTTGCCCTGGCATTTTTAACTTTTTCCTGGGGCCCGATGTACTTCTTTTCCAACCTTGCCAAATTCAGCTTATGAGTGCACTGCTTATAGCAGTTACAGGCTAGTAAGAATGGTCAGACACATACATGAACACGATATGTTGGGGAAGTTTCAATACAGCTTTTGTAAAGGAAATCATGCCTCCCCAATCTATTAGAATTCTTTGATGGTGTCAACAAGCATGTGGACAAGAGTGATCCAGTTGATATAGTGTACATGGCCTTTCAGAAAGCCTTTGACTATGTCTTACACCAAAGGCTCTTAAACAAAGTAAGTATCCCAGTCCTGGGATAAGAAGGAAGGTCTTCTCTTGGATCAGTAACTGGTTAAAAGACAGGAAACAAATAGGAAAAACGGGTCCATTTTCACAATGGAAAATGGTAAATAGTGGTGTCCCCCAAGGATCTGTACTGGGGCCAGTGCTGTTCCACTATTCATAAATAATCTGGAAAAGGGATAAACAGTGAGGTGGCAAAGTTTGCAGATGACACAAAATTATTTGAGATAGTTAAGTCAAAGCTAACTGCAAAGAGTTACAAAGGGATCTCACAAAACTGGGTGACTGGGCAACAAAATGGCAGATGAAATTCAATGTTGATAAATGCAAAATAATGCACTTTGTAAAACATAATCCCAACTGTACATACAAAATGATTGGGTCTAAATTAGCTGTTGCAACTTATGAAAGAGATATTGGAGTCATTGTGGATAATTCTCTGAAAGCATCTGCTCAGTGTACAGCAGCAGTCAAAAAAGCTAACAGAATGTTAGGAACTGCCAGGAAAGGGATAAATAATAAGACAGAACATATCATAATGCTACTATATAAATCCATGGGAAGCCTATACCTTGAATACTGTGTACAGTTTGGGTCACCTCATCCCCAAAAAACCCCCAAAAAGATGCATTAGAATTGGAAAAAGTACAGAGAAGGGCAGCATAAATGATTTAGGGGGGTTGGAACAGCTTCCATATGAGGAGAGATTAAAAAAACTGGGACTGTTCACCTTAGAAAGAAGACAACTAATGAGAAATATAATAGAGTACAATAAAATCGTGAATGGTGTGGCGAAAGTGAATAAGGAAGGAATTTACACCTCTCATAACACAAGAACCAGA